CACCCCCCCCCCCCCCCTCCCGCATGCTGATCCCCCTGCCCAGGTGAGGGCCCTGCCCTGGAAGACTGGGGGGAGGCCCCAGGCCATAGGGCAGCCCCCTCCCCCAGGAAGCAGGGAGGGGGCCGGGAGGCTTTCTCTTCCTCTCAGCCCCACCCTGGGGGCCCGGGGGCGAGGGCTGCCCCCTCCTCCTCCCCTCCCCAGTGAGGGACATTTTTTGGTAAACCTATTTTCATTTTGGAAAATATTTATGAATAAATAGTTTTATATGACGGCTGGCAGCAGCGGCCTCTCCTGTACCCCCTGAGTCAGTGAGCCAGGGGGCGTTCCTGCTGGCGGGGGCGCCGGGCCAGCTGGGGGTTGAACTGGGAGTTGTACCGCCTCCGCCGATCGTCCACCTCTTCTGGCTGATCCTCCTGGGCTGCCGTGCCTCCGATCCGGGCCAGCAGGGCCTCTGCCCGAGCCCTCTCGGCCGCTTCCCGCTGGAGACGTTCAGCTCGAAGCTGGTCCAGGGACGGGGGCCTGGGAGGAGACGAGAGTCGGTTCAGGAAGCTGGTAGTCCCAGGAGGTCCCGCCCTCCCCCATTGTCCTCTGGGAGGGAGCTTCCCCCTGGGAGGGAAGCAGACTGGTGCTGGGACCCTGAAGCTGGCCTCACCACCTCTACAGGTGGGTGCCCCTCCACCACTAAGCGGCTGTATGGCACTGAGCACAACCTGGCCCTCCCCATTCCCTCATCTGTGGGAGAAAGGAGATGGGTCGGTATACCCGATCTACACTCAGGGGTCTGCATCCTAGGGACACAAACCTGCTTTTACTCTAGCCCCGTGGTTCTCACACTCTGGTCTCAAAAACTGAACCTCAGAGAGCTTTGTGTCAGTGGATTTTATCTGTCAATATCTTGCACGTACAAAATGAGAAATCTTAACACAAGCGAATGTTCCACCAGCCACATCAGTGGTGTCGTCTCATATCATGTAGCCTCTGGGGACCCCGAGAACAAGAGTTAAAAAGTTAAATGATGTTACGAAAATAGGCTTGACTTCGCAGACCCCGTGAAGGGGTGTCAGGACCCCCGGGGTCCCTGGACCAGAGCCCTCCCGTCCCAACCAGAGAGAGCTTCCATGGTGCCCGCATGGCCATGGCCAACCCCCAAGGCCCAGGCTCCTTACTCTTTGGGTCGCTTCTCAGGTCCCTCCTTTTCCTTTCTGCTGTGACTGCCACTGTCACCACTGTGCTTTCTCTTCTTCCCCAAATGTTTCCGCATCTCCCCCAGAGGGTCCAGGCGGTTCTTGATCTTCTCATCTGGTCCTGGACCAGACGGGGGGCCGCCCCGACTTGGGGGGAGCTGGTACCAAGGGAGCTGAGTCTGGGCTTCCGCTGCACTCTGGCCCAGGTACGTCAGGATGCCCAGAGCCTTCTCTTGCCTCTCCTGAGAAAGATAGAAAATGTGGAAGTGAGAATGTCAAGTGTGTCTCCTCTTGGGGAACCAAGGGACACCCAAGGTTTCCCGAGGCAGAACCAGGCATTGAGCCAACAGGCCTGTCATGAGCCAACTCTGCCAGGTGCTGGGGACACAACAGACCAGTACGTGTGGGGCTCCTGCTCCGGGGGCACAATGGCAGCTTCAGAAACAAAAAGCACAGGAAGGAGGAGACAGGGTGGAGCTGCTTTAGGTTAGGGTTCAAAGGCAGGCATCTTTGGGGAGACAAGAAAAACCTGAGAGAAGCAAGCAAGGAAGAGGAGTGACTGAGGCGGCGGG